TCATTTGCTTATCAGTCTCAAATTCTACCTACGTGAGGTGATGATGTACGAGCCTACTTACAATGTGTAAGCTCCGTAACCAGCTTTTAATAGTAACCAAATAAATTTGTTCACAAAACATCATAATTTCTTTGGGTATAACCACCCGTTTCCGATCTATTGATCGACTAATTCGGATCGGATATTACAGAGGCTAGGATGACCATCTGAACCCAGTTTGTTCTATTCACAATCGCCATAATTTGAACCATTGAATTTGCTTAAGCAGACATATTATGTGAGATAATTTCTAATTCAATCTAAAAAGCATTTATTTTTATAACCAAAATTAATGTCTTCATTAAAGATAATGTTGTTATGTTGTTATCTTTATAAGTCTTGAGTTCCAGCAATTACGTTTGTAGGATACTTACAAGACTATTGAGTAGTCATAGCGATTAAAGATGGTGTTGTAACGTTGTTACCTTTTCAATACCTTTTTAGTAGTTTGGATGATAACAAGAAAAATATTATTTTATATAGTAATCTTTTTCGGATTAGTTTAGCATTATTACACGAAAATATTTGTTCATAATATTTTTTAATCATTAATAATGTACAAACATCCTGCAAACACAATTGTTTGAACTTAAGATTTATAAAGATAGTAATTTTATAACATAATCTTTAATCTCTGTGACTACTCAATAGGTACATTTTATATATTATCTTAAAAAGGTATTGAAAGCAATTATGATAGTGAAGAAAATTATAAAATAACGACCCATCATTAGGTGAAGCCTAAGTTATATATATATATATATATATAGTTAGAATTAATGTTGAAATAAGGTCCTAAAACGGTAGTCCAACAGCTAGTATAAGTAGAACGGGCCTCATGGTAAATTATTATTGTTATTCCTTGAGGATTTGAGTTCGAACACCATAGATACTAGATGTGTGAACGATCAATGTCGAAAGGTTGAGAGTTATCTTTAAACATATACTACTATGTATTTACCTCATATTATTTATAAAAAAAATACAGCTAGTATAAGTACGATAACCCTTCGAACTCCAAATCAACACGTCTATTAATAAAAGCATTATGCCTTATGAAACGTTAATGTTATAATAATCATTAATTGTTTAACATGAATCTCGAACTGTACTCATGCACATGGTTTGGAACCAATCTTTCATTCACATCAAAAATATTAAATCCATTTTCTTCATTTATTAAAAACTGGATTTAATATTTTAATGGGAATGAATGATAATTAAAATATTTTATTTTATTATCCTTTAAAATAAAATGTTATTAACAAAAATAAATTTTATAATCTTATTTAATAATATATAATAAAATATGTATTTGATATGTTAAAAATTTTTTTTGCACACCAAAGCATGGTAAAGTGACATTTGTTTTATTAATTCTGGGATAAGTATAAAATAGTATTTGATCAATGATAGTTTCTAACCTTTTGATATTAAAAGCTTATACCTCTAGTATTTAGGCTAAATGCTTCTAAGACTGAGATTTTTGCTTCTTATATGTCTGATGCTCTTTTGGCGCTTGTCCATGATGTTATTGGTTTTAAAGTGTGAAAGTTGTCTGGTAGATATTTGGGGTCCCTTTAGTCACTCGAAAGTTATCTGAAAATGATTGTTCTGGGTTGGTGAAGAGGATCAAGGCCAAACTTGGACTGTGGTCTAATAGATGGCTTAGTTATACTGGCAGGTTGCAGTTGGTGAAGGCTGTACTGTTTAATATAGTTAATTTTTGGTGCAGACAGTTGGTTTTTCCAGCTTCTATGATAAGGAGGTTTGAGCAGTTCCTTTCTAGGTTTTTCTAGAAAGGTGGTGATGTGTATGTTAAGGGTGCTAGAGTGAATTAGGAAGGTATTTGCACCCCTAAGTCTGAGGAAGAACTTGTTAACTTCTAAGAGATCCTTATGGGTTGCTTGGGTGAGAATGCATGTTTTTAAAGGCAGGGACTTTTGGTAGGTAGAGAACAAGCTCTCCTTTAGTTGGGTATTGAGGAAAATTCTAAAGTTGAAAAAGGAGGCTAGGCCTTTGTTTGACAATGCTACAAATTGGGCTAAGATTTCTGCACGATCGTTGTGGAATGAGATTAGGGACAAGAGTACTAAAGTTGGATGACAAGCTCATTTGGTTTTTCATGAATGTCTCAAAACGTTCTCTCATTGAATGGTTGGAAATGCTTGACAGGCTTACAACTGCTAATCATTTGAAGAGGATGTGGTATGATTTGTGGTGAGGTGGGCATGGAAGCTCGGAATCACATATCCATTGAGTATTCCTTTTCTAGGGAGGTCTGGGAGAAGATTCCTAGGTTTTGTCGGCTCTATAGGATTGTGGGAAGCTGAGAGGAAATGGTTGAGTGGACGGTTGCTTATTTAAAGGGTAGATCCCTCATTATCTACATCTTGAAGGTGATTTGGTGTGCTTAAATCTACTATATATGGGAAAAACGAAATTATAGGCAGTTTCGAGGGGTTACTAAGAGTGTTGGGTATATTGCTGATATCATTAAAGAAATTGTTAGGACAAGAGTTCATATGACATCAATTGGCCATGATGTTGTTAATAGTATTCTTTGTATAGCTTGGGGTATTCATTCTCCTTAGAAGAAATGGTTTGTTGTTGTTATTTTTTTTACTGTTATATGTTATTCTTTGTAGCAGTGTGAAGGCTGCTCTTTTAGATAATAAAATAAACAATTTATCAAAAAAATAACTTTTGTTATCGAGAAGACTTAGTTCGTAAAAATAAATCGTAGGCTTTATTTTTTCGAAGGGTAAATGATGAGCCTATTCATAAAGCGTGAGCCTGACACGAACAGTTTCCGCCGACCTTGGCTTTTCCTTTTCTTATCATTAGTTTAATCCATCTAATGTTTCATCGTTTTCATCTTTAACAATTTAGGGGTTGATAACATACAGGCCTTATGTTTGGGGTTAATTAGTGATGGCTTGTATGTGTAATGGGTCTGGAGGGTTAAATGGGTTTGAAATACTATTGAATTTGTAATGAACATTCATTTGGATATTCAATGTTTGGATTTGGTTTCATGGTTAATTTTTTTTTATTTGAATGTGCTTGGGTAATGATAAAAAAATGGATAAACATGAAAGGTCACGAGGCCCAAATAGTCCAAACCCAAACTCTATCATCTTCCAAATTGATCTTCACGTTTCCCATTTGTTCCACCAGTGACTTTTAAATTAATCATCTTCACTTCGCTTTAAATTATTCGGAGAAAATTAGAGTGTGAAAGTAACCAAGCAAATCCTTAATCGATAGGCTAAATCTAATATTTAGTAATCATTAAAATATTTTTTTATATATGATATATTATAGCTAATGATAAAAATAAAAATAGATAAGGGAGTACTTAAATCTAGGTCGATTGAGAATATGATAACATTTAAATTGCTAAAAAAAAATAATATACTATTTATAATTAATTTAAGATTTTAATATTTTTAAATTAAATTTATTTATTTTATATTTATTTATTAATGATTATATATATGAAATTATATTTAAAATTAAATTAAAAATTTATTTAACATATCCGAATTCACAAGTACAATTTAAAATCAAAAGATAAATTTATAATTTGAATCTTAAATATTTTTTCTTATGATTGTAATTTGAATATTAAATTATTTTTTTAATGATTTCGTATATATAATCATTAAAAAATAAATATGAAAAACACTAATTTAGTTAAATCAATTATAAATATTAATATTTTATCTCTTTTGAAAAACCTAGTTTTCTTTCGTTAGTGTGTCACCTATCTTGTTTTTTCGTCTTTGTTGATCGACGTTGACACCAACTTTAATGTTGGTTGTTGACCGTCAGTATTTATTTATTGTCTTTTTCCTTTCTTATATAATATCTCTAATTTTTTTTTCAATAAGTCTATTTGATTTGTTAATTAACTAATTATTATAAAAAATAATCTTTTAATTTTATTTTATTATTAACAAATCACACCACCATAATTCAAATTCTTAACTTTATCTAATACATCATCCAGTTAAACCTGCTTATAATTAATAAAATTCTCCTTTTAAATTATATTGTTAGGGAAATAATGTTTATTGACTCATCACCAGGTGCCATATATCATGACTCCACCTGAAGGAAAAAGGTCCAAAAAAGACTACCCTTCTTTTACGACTAAAGAAAATGAAATTGTGGAAGAATCCGTGTGGGTGCATAAAATAGGCAAGGAGACGACACGTGGCATGTCTTGACCAAAATTATGGGAGAGATTATAGTTTGTCGATAAAATCTGGACGACTTGTCAACAATAGCGGTCCCCTCGTATACCTCATGTTTGTAATTTTTTCCACTCTCTTGCGACTTTCTCACCCCAATTGCAGTGCTAAAACACATTCCATTCCATCCATAGCTATGTTATTTTCAATCTGATTTTATCGCTAATGGTGTGATAATTTTGAGAGTTTTATATATAAGTTGAAGTCTAAATATATAGGTGATATATAATGGTTAAACGCTGTATTATAAATTTATAATCGTACAACACATAATTAAAAACATAATAATAATGTTGAGTACATTGAAGATAGAAAGAATGGCAGTATAGTTGAATAGACAGGAAGTCAGGAAGTAATAGGATAACGTTGGCTTGTGCGTGGTTGGGGTGATTTATCCACCACATGTCCCCTTCTAACTCAACCCACTTGCTTATTTACCCCAAGTCTATGTGGGGACGAAGGACAGTATGGCGTATCTCTCTTCCTTCATTCCTTTTCCCATGGGTTTTTAATGCATTTTTGGGCGAGGGTTGCCCTCTATAAATAAACTCCGTAGCCCATTGCTTTCTTCCATGCAATTTGTCTCTTCTTTTCTTAGGGTTTTCTTTTCTGACAAAACAAACACCCGCATTTGTGTGTTTTCCGACGCAACATAACTGGCTAGGCTAAGATTGTGGTAAAAGCTGTACTTCATTGAACACAATGTCAAGCAGAAGATCGGGTTCCAGGCAATCAGCTGGTGCCTTGAGGATCACTGATGATCAAATTGCCCATCTCGTATCAAACTTGCAATGGCTTATCCCTGAGCTCCGTCAACAGCGCTCCGACAAGGTGCCAAACACTGCCACTCTCTTTTTTATTTTGTGTGGCCTTGCTTCACTTCCGACTTGTAGATAAGTCATATCTATTCTATAGAAACAAGTTGAGATGTGGGTCTCGGGCTGTTCCCTTACAGCATGCATTATGTTTAGCTATCACACTCAAATCTTATCAAAGAAAATTCAACAGAACAAAGGAAACCTCGTAATTATTCTTTAAAAAAACCTTGTTGTTTTTAATAATCTTTTAATTAATCTCCAGGTAAATGCTTCTAAGATGTTGCAAGAGACTTGCGAATATATCAGAAACTTACACAGAGAGGTGGAGGGCTTAAGCGACCGGTTATCCCAGCTGTTAGCTTCGACAGACACCGATAATGAGCAAGCATCCATTCTTAGGAGTTTACTTATGTAATAAATCATCGTTTTCCCACTTTCCTACACCTTTGTCTTTATCACTTTTGTTTTCTGTATTTAGGGTTTGGTGACTACCGTCATCACTACTCGTAAACAGTTACGCTGGGCGAGGGTTAAACAAAGGGAAGTCTCTTCTAAATTTTCATCAAAATTTTAATCTTAATCATTTATTTAAATTTATATATATTTTTAAAACAATATATATATATATATATATATATATGTTTTAAGAGCCATCCTCTTTTTGTTATGAGTTTAAAAAATTCAGCCAACAATCGTATTTAATCCAAAGGTTATAAATAATTAAAGGATTGAATATGTTGATAAATATATTTAATATAATAAAACTTGAAATAAGATTAAAATTCATTATAGAAAAAATAACTATAAAGATAGACTCAATCCGGATAGCAAACAACCTTTGATAGTTGAGTCTTATCCCCATAACACAGTTGAAGGTTAAAGTAGTGGTGGATCTATAATTATTTTTGATGTGGGGGCATACATATATTAATTATTGATTTTTTTCGTATGAGATTGATATAAATAAAATTTTAGAATAGACACATCTAATAAAATAGATAATTAATATAAAAAAATTTAAATTCAAAGATAGACAAGTGTCCACCTTGACTATGTTTTGCATCCGCCCCGTGAGAGGATGCAACTTGTGTTTGCAATAAATTCATGTTTTTTATCACGTCTAATAAGCCTAACATAAATATTATTTTTACCATTTCAAACCAAAATCCAATATTTGAAGTGATGTTTTCATTATTATTATTATTATTCGTTATATGATTTTTCATTTAAAATGTTTGTCTTAACAAAAATGGTATCTAAGGAGAAACGTTTGTTTTTGTTTTATACCGACTTTACCAAACATGGTCACGTGATTTGAGGATTATAATTCGATACTACAATAATAGTATTTTAACTATTCAAATAGATTAATCCATTCTTATTTATAGTAATTTTTTTTAAAATATAAATAAGAAAAACTTAATTAATTTCATTATATGTCAAATAGAGTAATCTGTACAATTAGCCACTAAACTTAGGTTTTATTTAATTTTATAACTAAACTTTAAAAACAATGCGCTGGTACTACAGTTCTAATACTGAAATGAAAGTATAAAAACATGTATTTAGTCTATCTCATTGTTTTCTTTAATAAAATTAGGGTTCTAATATATATATTCAACCAACACTAAACATCGATCGTCCTGCATATTCTTTCAATCGATAAGAGTTGTCCATTGTCTTATGTAACTATCTTAGGTATCTATAAATTCGTCTCATTATTGTTTTCAATTTTGATTTTCTCATTATTAGGGGTGATTATTAGGGGTGAGTAAAACTCGACTCGACTCGAAAAATCCTTTTTTTTTCAATTTCAATCTATTCGAGTTCACTCAAATTATCAATTCAATTTTCGAGTTCGAGTTAAGTTAAAATTTTGAAATTTCGAGTTACTCAAAAAACCTAAAATTTGAATAGGTGTTTTGATAGTTTTACGATTTAGTCTCTGATTTTATTATTCCTTTAATTCCTCCTTAATTTTAAGTCCATTTTTATCAAATTTGAACTATATGCTCCTAAAATATCATAGAATGCATATGTACTTTTAATTCATCTTTTTGATAACAATTTTTTTTTATTTTTCAATTTAGTCCCTCAATTTTTCATAATTTCCTTATTGTTTTGATTCATCCTTTATTTATATCCGTTTTTACTAAATTTGAATCACATGCTCATATACCACAATAAAAATACATATGTAACTTCAATTCTCACTTTTTACTAAAAATGTACTCTCTCTTTATTATTTAGTCCCTTAACTTTGCATTTTACTCAATTTGGTCTTTTGACTACAATTGTTTGCAAATTTTTCCTTCATATAAATTTATTGACTCTTTTATACTCTCATCAATATTTTACCCTCAAAATACTTTCTTTAAAATATAATATTATGAATATATTTTATAATTTTAGATTCTATTTGATATATTAAATAACATTATATTGTGAAAATAATATATCTATATATATATTTCACATGGATAGAGAGTAAAAAAAAATTGGAACAAATCCTCGTCATAATACTATAAATAATTATAATAAAATTAGTATAGAAACTCGAATAAATCGACTCAAATTTCTTAAACTCGACTCGACTCAAAACAATTTCAAGTTAATTTCGAGTTGTAACATATGACTCGTCAACTCGAATAACTCGAATTTTATTCGACTTGACTTAACTTGATTGAATGCTCACCCCTACTCATAACCCCTTTAAAATTCACGAAATTAAACACTAAAAATTATTATTCATGGAGTTTGTAGGCTTTATCAAAGTTGAAAGATTTGAGGTGTTTTGTTCTAAAATTTGAATGATAATATATTTTTTCAAGAAGACGAACAATCGAACTCGAAAATAGCCTCAATGAACGATCATTGAAAAAGATTAGATCATTAGAACATCTAATGTCTAGATTGATTTTTTGTTGATTTTGAGAAAAAAAATAATTTGAGAAAGAAATAATAGTGAAGTATGATTTTTTTACCAATTTTATCGCAAATGATAATTGGTGATTAGTTAGTTTTAAATGGCACAACAACAACAACAAAAAATGATTGATTTTCTATAAAAAAATGAAAAATAAATAATAATATCATCACATTATTAACGATTTAACGGGAATGTATTCATGTAGGCATCGTAGGGTCAATTATTGGAACTTTTTTTGATCGGCAAGAAATTTTTTTATTAGATCAAAATCAACTGCCAACTTGATTATATGCCTCGTTAAAAACTTCACTAATCCTAGGTGGAGGAAAAAAGTACATATAACCAAGTTCAAAAAAACCAAACAAACATAAATACTCTCAGGCTAAACAAAAAACTCAACAACACAACACAACACAGGGAGGCAAACAACTAAACAATTTCAAATCACAAAACTAATACAACAGCAAAGAATATGCTAACCGAGCAAACAACGACAACCACAAACTCTTCTTAACCAGCAACCAGCCCCGCTTGCAAAGCAAATAAGAGAATCCATCAATCTTCACACACCCGATCCTATCATCACCACGCTTTAAAGTCTGTAGACCTTAGTAATCCATTCGGCACTGACTAGCCCGCTACATTATTTTCAGCAATTAAAACCCCCAACAAACTCAACTTGCTTTAAGAATATTAACTCAATCATGTATAGCCGATTTGGATAGCAAAACAAGGAAAAAATATAGTAGGTTTAGGCAAATAAATCTTAACAAGTTTGGAAAAGTATATCCCGTAATCTCAACTCATAACCTAAAACCTAAAATCACAACTCAGTCCCATCTCCGTCTCTCACTCTCTCACCCATCTCCGACGAAATCCGTCCCCATCTCTGGCGAAATCCGTCTATCTCCATCTCTCAGAGCCACCCTCACAATCAGAAATGGAAAATCAACCAAATCAACCACCGAGGGTTAGTTTTTTAATTATTTTCTTTTTGAAATTTTTGCATTATTATTAGGTTTTTCATATTGAAATTGATGATAAGTTTACTGGTAATTTCAATAATAGATTAACCATTTCACTTAGATTGCTTATTAAATCAACCGAGAATCGTAACGCGAAATGAAAATCGCAACGACAAAATCGCAACGCGATTTTATTCTCTCGTTGCGATAGTCAAATTCGCGTTGCGATTGTCATTTTCGTGTTGCGATTTTCATTTTCAGAAACTATTCTTCTTTTGCAAATTGAAACTTGAATGAATTGCATTACTTCAACCAAAAAACAAAAACAAATAAGAAATTCACAGTGTTGCAAATTTAAGTTTGAAGAATAAACTACTACTCTTTATGTTTATTATTATTTTTGGTATATCTTCACAGTGTAGTTTTTGGTATATCTAACTTAGTATGTTTTTTGTTTTTGTAGAAATTTTATTCGGCTCAATTGACCTTAAGAAATAAAGTCAGCCTGGCCAAAACAATTACGTCGAAGCTTTCACCTGCACAAAGAAAAATGTTTGAGGATACTTGCTTCGGGCCATGGCTGAAAGTACAACATCCCGGTGGAGATACGATGTTGACACACCTGTTTCTTTAAACCATGACTAGCGATCTACCAGATATTATACAACGTCGTGATGAAGAGATATGGTTTGATTTTCCACTGGCGTATACGTGTTTTGGGCGGGAGGAGTTTTGCTTAATCACCGGTCTATGCTTCGGACACGATGATGTAGGTCGGTACACTAGACACATTACCCGCCCATCATGGTTATCCCGGGTTTTTCCTAAGTTGGAGAGGCCGAATCTATACGTGGAAGACATGACGAGATTATTGAATAAGAAAGATGGTTTTACTCGGATGGATGACGTCGATGTTGTCCAAGTATGCCTTCTAATACTTTTGCATGCCGGATTTTTAGGCAGAGAGGCCAGACAACCTATTCCGAATGATCTAATCAAATTGGTAGAAGACCTAAATGCGTGGAACCTGTTTCCGTGGGGCTCATATTTATGGAAAGCTACATGGAATAAGTTATCGTCTGCCTTGGATGATCGAAAAAGTTTGCATGGCGATGGTTCCAAATACACTTTTACAGGCTTTATTTGGGCCTTTAAGGTAAGAATTTTTATATAATGTTTCCAAAATTATAAGTAATTATTTAATAATTACTAATGTTTGTTATTATATTGTTTGTAGATTTGGATATTTGAGGCCTTTCCCGCCATGAAGACATATGTAATAAAAACTTCAAATGATATTCCCAGGGCTATTTCCTGGAAGAGGAAACGGACCTTGCAATGGGAAGATTTACTACGGTATACGACAATAAATAATGTAAGTTAACATAAATACTACCATATGTTTATAAACAAGTTATTACTAGTATACGTTTAACTTTGTTTGAGCTTTTATATTGTTAGGAGGCCAACACTCCATTACAGAGGCTGACACCCACGGAAGCTGAGCTTGCCATTGATTGGTGGCAAGCTAGTAAGCGTTTT